TGATACAGAATTTTAAAAAACGTATACAAAACTTATTTATAATAATGAAAAAACGTATGCAAATTTTTTATAGGGCTAGTAATACAGAAAATTGTTCTCTTACCTAAAACTCATGTTGTTGTAAGTGAATATTCTGTTGATGTATCATCCTTTAAAGCTTTGAGGACTCCTAACGCTTTAAAAATTTATGAATTTCTGTAGTAAGTCAGATTATGATGAATACTGTGTATAATCTTCCCTATATTCAGGAACTCCATTTAATATAGATCTAAGTGTATCATATTTTTTCACATATAATCAATAATGCACTTGAATAGTTTATTTTTCTCATATCAGGCTCATGATGTTTTAACGTGTATGCAGTATAGATCAAAAAAAGGCTATATGCATTGAGATGATAAAAATATTCTTGGTAAAGAAAAGTGTAATAATAAAGTTAATTCCAAAATTTTATTAATCCTAATATCCTGAAGAAAATCACATGACTTTGATCGTTCACCAGAACTATTGCATCTATTGCCTTCAACTGTGCAGATTTTCAGAAAAAAGTAGAGAACTCTTTCTCACATTAGTGAAAAGGCAACTCAATTTATTTTTACATAATGTTTTACGCTCCACCAAAAGCTCCAAGCTCCTATTTACGGCTAATCACAGTTTTTTAACCAATGATCAAACTTATTGTGCTTTGCAACGATTAATATCAAAATTATTTATCAACGCAAGCACAATAACGATACGATAATATCGTGTGATTTTATGATGTTGACTTAAAATTATGAAGAGAAGTTCATTATAATTCTCTTTCTCGTCATTTATGCTGAATTCTTTTAAAAAAAACTTGAAGAACCACTTTAAAAACCACGAAAAAGGTAAACTATTTGCTTTCTTATGATAAGCTTATAATTAAACAAATCTTTATTTTTAGGTGAAATTATACCTACTATAAAGAAAATCTTAACGAACTTAATAAATATTTATAGAAGACGAATTGCTTTATTCAATAAAAAAAGCAACTATTTTATGCTAACAAACTATAATACATCTACGATTATTTTTTGAAAAATATAGATGAAAATACAACCAATAATACTGCAAGGATTAAAAAACTAATTTTAAAAATTACAGTTGATATAATTATATAGGTGTTCAATACTGCATAATGAATTGATATCACGAAAAGTAAAAAGAATAATTTATCTAACTACTTGCTAGATAAAGATTTTTAATTATATTAATTAACCCTTTAGAATAACAGACAAGCCTGGGGTAAAAATTATAAACAAATTAAAAGTATTAAAAAAAAGTATATTTTTATAGTTTATTTATTAGTATAGTTAATTTTCATATAAGCTCCGTGATATCACAAAAAAATATTAAAAACAAGATCGTCTACATCATATGGGTGAACATGATAATTATTAAAAATATCGTTTATAACGAAATTATTTAAAATTCTAAGTAATATAAAATTCTATGTTTATTTTTATTATTTATTATTATCGTTTTTCAGCATTCCAGCTTTTTAAGCATAGTAATGCTTGTGCTGTATCTGTTCACATGGTACGCTAGTAGCTTGAATAGTAAGGTAATCATATGCCATTGTTGACTAGATTGGAAATTGTTCTTTATGAAATTTCCACCATTCTAACGGTTCACATTCATTTTTTGTAGGTAAAGAAAGATATCGTTCCAATTCATTATTTATATTTGGTTGTGCAATAGGTTGAAATTTATTGGCAAGATTTCTTAAATGCATACGAGCATTAATTTCTATATGTTCTGAAGATAATATATCCATAGTTGTAGATTTATTGTAATAGTTCATCTTATTTCGTATCAAAGTTATGGCATTATTAGTTTCATCACCAATTGTAAAAATTGAACACTTGACACGAGGATCTAATATTGTTGCTACTTTGGTAAATTTTGTTATTCATGTACAAATATCTTTACCCATGCAAAGTGGTCGGGTTTTTTGATTTCCGCATATATTCGTACAAAGTTTGAAATACAAATCCGGAAATTCGTTCACAACGAAAAATTTTAATTATATAGCATAATTTCAACAGTCGATTTTTTTTAAAAAAAAAAATAATAATTTTTTTTTAACTTTAAAAATTTATTTTTAAACCATAAATTCATTTATCCAAAAACTGAAAAACAAAGTAACAATTCAAAGTTAATTTCATTATATAAAAAAATTATATATATATATAATATATACTTACAGCTGCATGTACAGCTGGATATCTGTGCCCAATGATCTCAATAGAATCAATAATTTGACGAACTTCAGATAATTCCTCGGACGAAAGTTGAACATTAGCTGTGTCAACATTCTCTTCTAAATATTTGACTTTCTTTGTACCAGGAATAACAACAATATTTTCTCCCTAAAGAAAATTAAATTGTTAAAGACAACTGGATAGTACATTCGGAATATATTTGATAAAATGATAAATAAGTAAATACTTGAGCCAAAACCCAAGCCAGACAAAATTGACTTGCTGTAACACCCTTCTTCCTTGCGAATTCCTGAAATTTTTTAACAATTTCCAAATTTTTTTGAAAATTATCACCCATCAAACGTGGACTTGTCCTTCTAACATCATTTTGATCAAAATCATCAATTGATTTATATTTTCCGGTTAAGAATCCGCGACCAAGTGGGCTATAAGCGACTATGGTAACACCTAATTCACGACATGCTTCCATAATTCCATTATTTTCAATATCAAGTGTCCATGGACTATACTCGATCTTATAAAAAATGGGATGGTTTGATATTTTAAAAACGATTCAAAAAATTTACAATATCATACCTGTAAAGCTGCAATTGGATGAACTTTACAAGCGCGTCGAAGTGTGTTCACGGAACATTCCGAGAGTCCGATATATTTCACTTTGCCTTCTTTCACAAGTTCCGTCATAGCGGCAACGGTTTCCTCAATAGGTCTTTGAATTAAAAAAAAAAAAATATGTAGATATTTTTACTTATTACTTTAAAATAAAATTTATTTAAGCTTACGTTTTAGAATCCACACGAATTTGATAATAGAGGTCAATATAATCTACCCCAAGCCTTTTCAACGATTTTTCACAAGCTTGACGAACATATTCACGATCACCTTTAATCTCAAATTCTCCATTTGGACCTCGAACGACTCCGAATTTTGTACAAAGAAATACTTCATGACGACGTTCTTTAAGAACTTTTGACAAAAGGATCTCATTAGCTCCAATTCCATACAAATCCTAAAGGTCACATTCAACCATAAAGGAGTTATTATTAGTTTTGTTTCAGTAATTCGAAAATAATGATCGAATAAATCTAATTTACTTTACCGCAGTATCCCAAAAGTAACTTCCTAATTCGATCGATTTGTTCAATACGTTAATGTTTTCCTTCTCGTCAGATTGTCCATAAAAATCACTCATTCCCTAAATTTTTTATTATATATATATATATAATTTTTTTTTAAAAAAAACAAAGTGGATTTGCAATTATTCAACATTGAAATAAATAAATTGTGCTGTGGATTCTATCATTATTACAAACCATACATCCTAAGCCAATTGTTGGAATTTTGACTCCGTTTTACCTAATTCACGAGTCGGAAGTGGCATTTTTTTTTTATTTTTTTTTAATAAAATTCACACGAGAAGGAACCAACAAAATGAATAAATACCTTTTATAAAAAAAAAAAAAATTAAACTTGCTTAATGAATTCTCTTTCGAAGAAAGGACTAAATACAAAGGTCTAACTATTTTCGGGACGGGCTTGTGCAAAATTTAACCGAATTTTTTGAAAGTTATGACCATACAAAATATGGCAAAAGTCTAACTAATTTCGGATGAATGATTCCATTCAAATACGATTTGGACGAATTTATCCGAAGAATTTTTTGTTTATTTTTACTAAATGTTCTAATTTTCTTAAAATTCCGAAAAATAGTAAGAAATGCCCTTCTAAAACGTCTTTCATTTACAAATCTAAGGACAATTCCAAATGGACTAAGTTCCGTGATAAGTTTGATAATGTTATTAATTCATGTTCTTTAAAAAACATTTCCTCCACAACTTCATGGTTACAAAGTACCTTAAATTCCTTATGGGACCTCTTTCAAGATTCACTAATTACGATTGCTAAGAAAGTTATATCTATCCACAAATCCAATAGCCATCATATTTCTAAACAACCAATCGCTCTATCAAAAATTTATAACAACATTAAAGTTTTACATCAGTTTAGAAAAACCTCCAAAAAATGTCTTAATAACAACCTTATAGATTCCAAATAGACAAATTTGTACAATCAGTTTCTTGATATTACACATTTGTCAGGACTCTGTGTAATCATGCTTATGTTATCACCTCCTGTCATTTTTATTAACTCCATTTTTTCAGATGTCAAACTTTTACTTTCTGGTCTTGACACTAAAGCCAAACTTTATAAACAGGAATTTAAATTGAAAAGCATTCAAGATGCTCTTGACAATAGAATTGATGACTTTACTCATAACCCTCAAAAATGTTTGATTCAGTCCTCAATAGAAAATGTCAAACCATTATCTTCAACAGATGTTTGGATACTTCTAACAACTTATGTGATTTCTTAACAGATAATACTGATGTTAAAAAAGAAGTTTTCAGACATTTTCAAAGAGTTACTAGTACTTCATATTATGAAAAACCTTTCCTGACAAGTGGATTTCTTTGTATCAACCACTTAATAATTTTGATCTGCAGATATATGTTTTTTTATTGATACTGCCTTGGGCCAATGAATGGTATCACATTATTGAAAGACTTCCAAATGATAAAACGTCTGAACTATTAAAAATCTCAAATGAAATATTAAAGCATGTAGACCTCTTCGCTAAGAAATGCTTCTAGTATATTATTTAAAAATCTTATTCATTTTCAACTGATAGAATTTGGCCTATGTTTATCTAATTCCTAAACCAAAATCCTAAAAATACAACCTTAATAACACTAAACCAATCACCCTTTTAGAATGTTTCAAGAAGATCTTTATTAAACTAATTAATGGTAGATTAGCTAAAGTTTTTATTTGTTATCAAATTTTTAAAGGATATAATTTTACTGGATTTCCTTTTAAATCAACTTTTAATCTCATTTACATTTTTAATAACATTAAACAAGATGTCATTTTCAATAAATCAGAGTTATAGGTTCTCCTCCAAGATATGTTAAAGGCTTATAATATAGTCAACATTTTTACTTTAACAAAAGATATAGAAAGATTATACATTCCTTTCGCTTTTATTTATATTATCTTACGAATTTTTCTCTCTCATTTTAATTAAGTATTCATTATGTATAGTAATACAGATACTTATCTTGTTTATTTTGGTATCAATCAAGGAGAAGTAATCTCTTACTTTTATGATGCATTTATTATGACCCTTTATTTTGTAAAATAAATGAAACACAACATGATTATAATATGAAAGTATCTAATATTTGTGTCTCTTCATCTAATATTATATAATATAAAATATCAGCTTTAGTCTATATAGATGATACTTTGTGACTTATCAAGTCTAAAAATGATTTAATTTATATTATTAATATTATTAATAGCTTCTTTGCTTTTAATAATATTCAAGTCAATTGATTAAAATTAGAACTCTTAGTTAACTCCTCTCAAATAGAATCTTTTAACATCAAAAATAGTAACAATGTTTGCTTTATTACTTTATATTCTCAAAGGCTAATTTTAGATACCTGAATATCTGAATATCACTCCTTTCTAATAAAAAATTCATTCATAACTAACTACATGATGAAATTAAGAAGGCTATATTAATTATAAAGAATAAAAGTCTTACTGACTTGCAGCTTGTTTACATTTTTAATACAGTAATTCTATCTAGATTAAAATACAAATTTCAGCTTACCTTTTCACTAGAATCCTAATATAAGAAATTTATTGCTACCTATGTGGCTTTTATTAAACAAAAGTTGAAATTATCTAGATAAATGCTTTTGAACATAATGTTTTCAAATTATTTTTATAATTTGATTCCTTTATTTCAAAGACTTATTTAAAATTTTAGTAATACTTTATTATATATAATAAATAAGAAAAACATTCTTAGAATCTTCTTTTAGATTAAAATTTTATAATTACAGTTAAAAGAATGGCTCTACAATAATCCTTTATTTTATTGATCTTTTTTAACCTTATCAACAAATAATGACTGGCTTTTAACTCATTTATATACCTTAAAATAACTTAATATTAACTTAATTATTCTTTCATTCATTCAAAATATGATCACTGATAGTAACGCTTCAATTTCTTATTTAATACTAAATCTCTATAAATAAAACGTTATTGATTTAAGAAAATTTTTTGTCCTCTTTATTGAATAATTAATCAGCTATCAAAGCAATTACATGTTCACTTTTAATAATATATATACTATCATTCATTTTGAAAAACATATCTTCTGAGTCACAAAAATGGTTTTTAATATTAGAAAGAGTTTTGAATCCTAATCAAGATTGATTTTTACACTTAACAATTTATATAAACATAAATATTGCTATAGTTATTTGCTTTGTTAATCTCCTCAGACCTCTATACCAACAAATATTATAGTTGTTTAAAGCTTTAATTTTAATTTATTTGTCTTTGAAAAGTTACTCACATTGAAGGAAACACAGTCTATTTGATATACTATATTCCTTTGAATAGCTCTAGAAATTATATAATTCTAGATCTATATAGCCGTTACTAATTTTATCAGGATTCAAACACCAAATCTTAATAATTTCAATATAAATGTTTTTTCATATCACATTAAGTCTTTATTCAACTATATCCTTTTTTTTCAAAAGTAAACACATTGATACTACTCATAGTATTCTGTAAATTAATATTTTATATGAACTAGCTATAACTTATTTTTATTTAATTCTAATGCAAATCTTTTTACAGTAAAATCAGACAAGGATTAGCAATTCTAGTTTAGTTGATAATAATTGAGTTCTTATTAATAGGTTACACTGTAATAATCATAAGTTTAGATCTTGGCTAAAATATAAAATTAGATGCTTTCATAAGAATTTCATTATAACTAAACACATAAGTGTATAAATTAATATACATTAATAATTAATTGATTAATCTGTTGATTAATATTAATTAATACTTAAATACTAAATCTTACAGAACAAGTAGGTGCAAATAAAGCTAAAATTTAATAAAATTTAGTTTTTACTAATAAATCTATAATAGATATTGTCTTATGATTTCAAATTCAAAAGCTCTTATATAAGTAAGAAAGTAGTTAACTAATATTAGTATATTTAATATTCTATAAGAAGCTATAATAATAATAAACTGCATTGCATTGCTGTAGCATTATCCAATTGAGCTGTCACTTGAAGTAGAGGTTGAATTTAATTTTTAGGTGAGTTTGACAATATGAGTATAATAGCTACTTACCTTTCTAAGTTTTATATATAGATAATTATATTTAAAACCTTTCTGATCATGCGTTAATATTTTAATATCGAACAAAAATTATATTAATTTTGATTGATATTGGTAAAAATAAAGAAATTGATATAAATATCTATAGCTGAAAGTAATTTTTATATACAAATTTGACAGTAATTTTAAGAATGAAAAGTTTTAAGATTTAATATTCTAGAAGATCAGTCTAAATGGTAATTTTTGGGCTAAACTTATTATAGTTAAATTTTGAGTCTAACTATAATCTCAAGGTTTATGATAGCATTAAAGTTTATCTTAATATACATAAAATATTACTAATAAATTCTAGATCTTAGTATTTAATATTGTAATATTAAAAAAAACTTAGTAAAATTAAACAATTATTAGTTAATTACTAAAATTATGTATAAATATCAATTTTATATAATAAATAATAAATTTAATATTAAAATAGTATATTTTGTTATTTTATTTATATGATATTAATATTGATTTATTTATAAAATATAATAATATGAATTAAAAGAATTTATAAGAAAGATCGTCTAATTTATTTAATGCTTTATAATTAAAGAAAAGAATATTACATAATAAATAATTGAAAATAACAATAACACATAATATTTAAATGATAATAATAATAATATAAAATAAATATATTTAATAATAATAATAAAATAATTAAATTGAAGGTCTAAAAACTTAAATTTAAGAAAAAGAAAATAATTGAGAAAATGGAATATTATATAATGAAAAGAAGAAAACATATAAAAGAAAAAGAATAACTATTAAAATAATATAACAAAAAATTGGAATGAAAAAAAATGAATGAAAAAAAAGGAAATATTTATAAAAAAATAATGAGAAAGAATAAGAAAATAGATTCAGAATAATAATTTTAGAAAAGAATAAAGAAAAATAATTTTGAATGAATAAAAATTAATT